TAACTGGTACAATGCTATGCTAGATGAATATAATGCTTTGATAGATAATCATACATGGGATTTAGTACCCCCCCTCCCCTGACCAAAATATTATCTCTGGAAAATGGCTCTTTCGCCACAAACTTGGCCCAACAGGTGAATTGTCCAGGTACAAAGCTCGATGGGTCGTCCGCGGATTCTCTCAACGCCATGGCATCGACTACGACGAGACCTTCAGCCCGGTTGTCAAACCTGCCACTATACGCATCGTCTTGAGCCTTGCTGTGTCCAGAGGATGGCCGATTCATCAGTTTGATGTCAAGAATGCTTTCTTGCAAGGGTACCTTACTGACACTGTCTACACTGCTCAGCCCTCAGGATTTCAGGACTCTGCTCGTCCACATTATGTTTGCAAATTAAATAAGGCACTCTATGGGCTCAAACAGGCACCCAGGTCTTGGTACCAACGTTTTACGGGCTTTGTCCTTTCTCTTGGCTTCAGTGGATGTAAGAGCGACACTTCTTTGTTTGTCTACAGTCGCGGACAGGACATGACTTTACTCCTGCTTTATGTTGATGACATTGTCCTCACAGCTTCATCCTCTGCCCTCCTTCAGCAGATCACAGAACGATTGAAGGGGGAGTTTGCTATGACAGACATGGGAGACCTTCACTTCTTTCTTGGGATCAATGTTCAGCGGACCTCTCATGGCTTGTTCCTCACTCAGACACAGTTCATTTATGACATCCTCGAACGGGCCGGCATGACTTCGTGCAAACCAGTTTCTACGCCCGTAGATACCCGTGGGAAACTTTCGGCCACCCTCGGTGCTCCTGCCCCGGATCCCTCTCTGTATCGCTCTATTGTGGGGGCACTACAGTACCTCACTTTCACCTGTCCGGATATCACCTATGCCGTCCAGCAGCTATGTCTCTTTCTACATGATCCACGTGTGCCACATGTTACAGCCATGAAGCGCGTTTTGCGCTACCTACACGGCACACCCACCCATGGCATCATCATATCACCTTCTCAGACAGATCATATGCGAGCATATTCAGATGCTGATTAGGCTGGCTGTCCAGACACTCGACGGTCGACCTCTGGTTACTGCATTTTTCTTGGCGACAATCTCATTTCTTGGTCCTCTAAGCGCCAACTCACCACATCTCGGTCCAGTGCTGAAGTAGAATATCGAGTCGTTGCTAATGCCATCGCTGAGGTCAGTTGGGTACGCAATCTGCTTTTAGAACTCCGACAACCTCTGACACGCTCCACACTAGTTTTCTGTGATAACATCAGTGCTGTCTACCTTTCTGCAAATCCTGTTAAGCATCAGCGCACAAAGCACATCGAGGTCGACATTCACTTCGTGCGCGACAGAGTAGCTCTTGGTCAAATCCGAGTTCTTCATGTGCCTTCTTCATTGCAGTATGCTGACATATTCACCAAGGGACTACCTTCCATGCTCTTCTTCGAGTTTCGAGATTGTTTGGGCGTGCGGTGTTCTTCATTAGTGCCGTTGGGAGCATGTTAAATATATTCTTACTATATTTAATATTCATGTATATTGGTAGCTACCATATTTGTATAGGATGTATTTATTATTGTTTCCTAATGTGATTAGGAAATCTTTGTATATATACACATGTAATCTCCCATAATAATTCATTGGAAATTATTCATTCTACACATAATTTCGTATACAAGAGATAAGAGCATTTACATTGATCCAAAATCTGTCCCTCCCTGACTCCCGCCACATCAGCATTCCACTGGTTTTTTGCCACGCCCCAAAATCCTGTAATAATATCGTTCCGAAAACTCACCCTCCATTTCTTTTACGATATTCATTTTTTTAATTCAAAACTTATATACATGCCCTACATGTCCAAAACTTATACATGTCAGGATGGAGGGAAAATTTGTAGACCTTCTCTAAAATAAAATTGATTGAAAAAATTCAAAAAATTACTTACTTTAACATAATATTACTTATATTTTGAGACGGAGGGAGTATAAAACTACTCCCTCCGTCCCACAAAACTCTTCTCTTTTCCTTTTTCATCCGTCCCAAAAATCACTCTTCTTTTCCTATTAAAAAGTCACTTTTACTTCTATTATTTTTAACCTACCTATCACATCACACTTTTTCTCTATTAATCTACCTATCTCATCCTACTTTATCCATCACATCAAAGAATATTTTTAGAAAGTCTACACCAAAATACACTCTTCTTAAATACTTTAAAAGTTAAAAAGGAAAGTTTTTTAAGGGACGAAAGAGTACAAAATAGAGAAAAATTACTCTGTAATACTCCGTAAAAATGATTTGATTACGAGTCTGAAGTAATTGGATGGTACGTAAATTACTGAATTTTAGATTTGTGATGCATTTTTTATTTGAATTTGGTGGGATGGGGGATTAAGCTATTTGTACCCCAAGTTTTTGTACTCCACTTTGTACCCCGCAGGTTTGCACCAACATTTGATGTTGGTGTAAAATTAATTTTTGTTAACACACCAATACTTTGTTTCCGTGTAAATTTTTGTTTACGGACCAATACTTGTGTCGGAGTAAACCATCTAAATATTACACTCTTTTGCAATGTTTTGAAAACCGGACCGGACATCGAACCGGACAAGCCACTGGGTCAAGAGTCAACCGGTCGAACCGGGTTGACTCGGGTCAACGACCCATTACTTGGTATATAATATTCATATTTATGTTTAGATAATAAAAAATTAAATAATACCATATTTTGTGAACTATTTTTAAAGATAATAAAATATTATCACATAACTTAAATATGCATATTATTTCAAAATAATACGAAGCACATACTCCCTCTGTCTAACTTTAATCTTTCCATTTGAATCGGACACACATATTAAGGAAAGATGTAAATGTTATTGTNGTTAAATAAAATATTTAAAATTGCATTTTTTTCTTCTTTATGTTATTTTCAATGTCATTGTTCATATACTCTTTCACACTTTCCATATTTTATTATAATTAGTATATATTTCTTCATTTTATAGATGATAATATTTGTTTAGATATAAATTATTCATTACTATTTAATACAAAAAATAATTTTTTTTACTTTGAAATATTTTAAAAGATTATAAAATAATCACACAACACTAACATGATCTTTCTTACAAATAGTTAGTAGTTTTCTTAATTCACTCAACACAATTAAAAAACACTATATATACTATTCTGCATGACTTTGTTAACAAGAGTTGATTAGCTTAAGTGGTTATAGACTTGGAGAATTATATGGTGAGGTCTAGTGTTCAAATCCCAACTCCATCATTTTATTTTGTAGGCAAAAAAAATAAAAAAAAAACTTTAGAAAAAAACCCGCGAGCCGGCCGGGTCGACCCGGTTCACCGGTTCCGCCGGATCTACCGGTACCCGGGTCTGGGCGGGTCGATGCTGATTCGGGTTTCACATTTGAACCGGACCGGATTCCTCACAGGTTCGCGGTCCGACCGGTTGGACCGGCCGGTTCTAATAACATTGCTCTTTTGGTGTAATGGTTGAGATATCTTCGTCTTCTCTATGGAACAAAGATTCGTGATGCAGTAATTCCCATTTCTTCTTCTCTCCCACGTCCTCATGACCGTTCTTCCCTCCAATCCCTCCACAAACCCTAACCCTAATTTGCTTCCATGTCCAACAAATTTCCCGCGTCCTTCCCACAAAATCCTCCTTCAGAGTCCTCCGTTCATCCCAGAACCCGAACCTCCCCGCGGGTCCTCCGGAGAGTGCCCGACTGGGCCGACGCAATCAAAGAGACCCGGATGCAGCAGAAGCGGCGCCTCTACAAGCATGGCGACTGGGTGCTGCATCGGAGCTCCCTGAGGCATCTCTCCACCGTCCTGAGCTCGAGGGTGATTCTCTCGCTGGTTCCCCCCGTGACGTGGCCGCCGCGGTCGCGGCCTACAACTCCGCGGTAGATCTGAATTGGCTGCCGCCTGAGTTTTTCCCGGTGCTGAGGGCCTCTTCTCTGCCATACCAGTTGACGGCCCCCGCACTGGCGCTTCTTCTCAGGCTAGAGGAGGGCCGGAAAGCGTGGAGTAATGTGATTGCAGGGGCAAACAACATGGCAACGCAAGTGATTGCTGTTGTTGATTGTAAGAGTGATGCATTCCTCAGGAAATCACTCTTACAGTATATAATGGCTTTTCCAGTTGCTCTTAAGGTTTGTTTTTGTTTTTTTTCCGCCTTAGTTTTAACTATAGTTTCGAAGTTATAATTTGATAATTGCAAACTAGAATATGACCATGTGTTTGGCTGGGGCTCGAACCTGGGTGAACATTCCAATATTTGGGGTGTGATGGAATAAATCAAAATGGATCTCTAAGCTGTCTGCGCTTCTTTAATTAATGAAGTAGCAGTTAGTCAAGCAATGCAACTTTCGACGTTGAGCCGGGGGTCTCTTTGGAAACAGCCTCTCTACTTTCGAGTAGGGGCAAGGTCTGCGTACACACACCCTCCCCAGACCCTACTCTTGTGGGATTTAACTGGGTTGTTGTTGTTGTTGTATTTGAATGAAACTAAAAATCTCTTCACTCGAAGCTGATGTAAAGCTATAGTTCTCGGTTCAATGAAGTGCCACTTAGTGTATGGCTCGGATGTAGAAAGTGACCTGAAAAACTTGCTTGAAGCTGATGATCTAGCTATAGTTCTAGGTTCAAAGCATCCGCCACTTTGCGTCATTGAGTTTATATCACATTGTATTCGCTCTCTCACTTTAGATGAAACAGAGCTTCAGCTGCTGGTAATTCTCATATATCATGTGTCTTTTGGAAATAACCCTCACTAGTCCCTACTTTTAATGAAGTTTTATTGGGTTTGCGGTTGTGTTTTGTTTTACAAGCACGCCTGACACGGCAAGGGCTTGTTTTCTTCAACTTATCGAATTGGTTCTGATCTTATTTGATTAAGTTTTGATTTGTTTGTAGTTATATTTAAAGTTGTTTCGGATGTGATCTGATTCCAATGAAGAAAGGTAACAAGCAAAGAGAATAAGTTGAAGAGAACAAGCTCTAGATTCCCTAAATGTAAATGTTTTCCAATGTTCGTTTTTTTTGTTTGGGGGATTAATATGTAGGAATCAAAGATCTCGTGTTTCCACGAAAGCCTTGGTGCGTGCAAGCAGCTTGTCGGCATTCCCATCCCACTGTCGTACACACGGCTAACATCAAGGTTTTTGGTCCTTTGGCATCTCACGCTCCCCGTTATACTATGGGATGAGTGCCACTGGATGGTGATCCCCGCTACTTTCATCAGTGCCGCTTCTCTATTTTGCATTGAAGAGGTTTCTTTCGCCTTCCTTTCTCTTCTTCTTCCTTTGGTGTCAAAATGAAAGTTTTTGGGGAGAATGGTTGTTAGTGACAGGCGGTAGGTGGTGTATGACTGTGGGGGGGGTATCAAAACCTCTGGATTGACATCGCCCAAAATTTGAAAGATATTAAAACACCCCATTTAGGCTCTGTTTTTTGGGTTGTAAAAATAGAGTTGGATGTTGGGAGAAACTAGAAAAAGTTGGAAAAAAACTAAAAAGAGTTGGAATCTTGTGATATGGAGATATATCAAATTTGAATCATGTTTAGACTTTCACCATACACCAGAAAGAAAAGGGCCCTTAGAATATTAGGTGGACATCAAATTTGAATTCTATAACTGGTACCTTAGCAAGAACCATTGGCCACTTGAAAATTGTGTTCTTTTTATTCAAACTTTGAATAACCAATCAGAAGGGTATCATCTAATTCCTTGCTAAAATTTTGAATAGGTTGGTGTTCTCATAGAAGAGCCATTTCCAATGCTTGCACTGGGTGAGCTGTGCAATGCACTTCATGAGAGCATCCGCGAAGCCATGGCCAACGAGAAAGCAATTCAAGCAAACATCAGTGCCAAACGAAAGGCATGTTTTACTAAACAGACATCCACCGGAAATGGGTGCTCAAACTCTCTTAACTAAACTACACTGTGAATAAAGAAGAAAAGAATGTAGGTTAGTTATATGAACATGGATGTAGACACATTTCATACTGGAAGTATATAAAGTATGCCCTTAGTTTTAGTTGTATTTAATTTGCAGATTACCCCTTCGTCCCATACGTAGACCTGGCAAAACAGAACCGGAACCGATTAACCGAACCGAAATATCCGAAACCGAAACCGGAATGACCCGAAAAATGAAGATCCGATCTATAACCGAAAACCCGAAATGATCTGAATCGAACCGAAACTGAACTAAATAATTCATATCCAATTTAAATCCGAAACTGATTAGATCCGAAACCAATAATATCCGAACCGATTAAACCCGAAACCGATTAGATCCGAACTTGATAATACCCGAAACCGATTAGATCTGAAACCGATAATATCCGAACCCGATTAGAACTAAAATCGATAAATTCAGAACTATGTTTGCCTTTCAATAAGCATATTATATTTTTAAATTTTTATTTTTATTTTACCATTTGAACTAATTACATTACTTGCCCATTCCCTCATAAAATGGATTATCTTTTTGAAAAAAAGTACAGAATTTTATGCCTTAAATTTATTATATGTAGAAATTAAAGATAAGTTATACATATGAATGATAACGCACAAACAAATAAAATTTTCGTAATTTTTAAATAGTAAAGTGTGATATTCTTTTTGGGACGAAAGGAATATATGATGAATTGTACGGAATAACAAGATTTTATCCTAATTTGATCTCATTACAATAAATTTTAATGATTTGAGAGTTAATTTGATTGGTTTCAAACCAATTCACTCATTATTAGTCAATAAAATTAAATGCTAGTATTAGCATTTTAAAAATACTCTCTAGCGGCAGCCTTTGCTGTTATCATTTTCAAATTTGATCTACACATTACATTTGGGTGTAAAATTAATTATATTTGACTCTATTAAATTTAATTTTTTCTATTTTCAACCAAATATACTCAATAATTTACAAATTTTGCACTCAATTGAATAAAATTTACTTAATTTCATCCAATTTTACTCAATTTTTACCACATTGTATTCAAATGAACATAAGACTATTTGAATTTATCTTTTATCCTTTCATTTATGTACATAAGTACATTACGGACTAGTAGATGTAAAAAAAATTTGATATTTCAAAACTAAATTTTAAAATCAATTTAATCATATTAAATTTATATCATAATTGAATATATATGTTTTCATAATTTGTAGTCCAAATGTGTAAAATATGACTAAAAAGTCAAAAAGGGAAGATTATTTAGGGTAGAGATAATATAACTAGAAAAAAATATAAAATAATATGAGGTATTGAATTGATGATAGATTGATAAATGTGATAAAACATAAAAAGAAACACAAATAGTTAAATTTTAATTAGAAAATAATATATATCCAAAATATATTTGATGTGAAACCGAAATATATCCGAACCGAACTAGACTCGAAACCGAAATATATCCGACTCAAATTGTATCCGAACCGAAATTTATCCGAACCAATTTATAACCGAACTGTATCTGAACCAACTCGAATCTGAACCGAACCGAAAAATGTATAGAACCGAAATTAAATCCGAACCAAAATTTAACCGATCCGATCCGAATCGAACCGATTATAACATATAACCGAAAGATATCCGAACCGGAAAAATCCAACCCGAAACCGATCTGGTTGATTCGATTGCCACCTCTACCCATACGTACAGTTGGTATACTTAATTAGTAAGTATTTCTGTACTATTATAATTTGGTCAAAAATGTTTAGAAGTTGTTTTAACTTATTAGTTGATGATATATTTTTCTGTATTTATAAGCGGAATTATAAATTGCTTAGAAGTCAAAAGAATAAGTTGGTTATACGTACTTATTTTAAAGCCAATCAATTGCAAAACCATTCCTAACATTTAACAATTATCCTAAATTACTCATCTCTCATCAAATGGACTTGGCAAAAAATAACTTGACTTGTTTTTTTATTCAAAATTTGATTTGAGAATATTGAATTTTGAAAAATAGTTTTGTTGACCGAACCCGAAATAAGCCGCTAAAATGGGTCAAACCCAACCAAATCCGAATCTGATCTGATCGACCCGCTATTTTAAGAGTTTTTTGAAATAACTTTGCTATAAAATATAATGTGAAATGATGGTGTTAATATGACGAGAATAACTCTATTTTAAAAAAGGAAAATCAGTCTGCTTTCACCATAGTAATATGTCTTCAAGAAAACCAATCACTCCAAAGGATAATATGCAGTCTAAAAATCACAGGCAAGAAAAGATGTGCACTGGATTACACGTAGTAGTACACATTATATGGTTTTTGAGTTACAGATTTGGATGGAATGAGACCCCAAATACTTCCATTGATATGAGTTAGAGATTTGACTGTCCGATCGGCTTTTGCGCAGGCGGGACCACTCGCTGCAAAGCCTCTTGCGTGAGTGCCACCACAAGCTGTCATTTACCATATTTCGTAGAAAAACAAAATCAAATTAATTAGATAAATAAATATAATCATAATCACCATCTAACTTAGTGTTAGTTTTGGAAGTTTTACCGTTCCTGTCCGATCATACATTTGCCCAGAAACAAAACTGCGCGCATTGCATGCCGATGGACTCCCTATCTGGAAACAAAATCACACAACAATTTAGAGCAAAATGAATATATGATTAGCCAATTGAAGAGAAAATGTTTCTAAATCAAACAAATCTTGGCTTGCTCACCACGAACAATATCCAGTCATCAGCCCGAAGAGGCCTGTGAAACCACATCCTGAAACAGACCAAGTCAACACGAAATCATACCCATATTTTATTGTCTCAAACTAACATTCCATTTGTAATTTCACTTTTCTCAAGAAACGGGTTGTTATTGGGGTCCACAAAATCACAGGAGGAGACAAATGAGCGTAGTTTGGAAACCACTTACGCATGATCGAGGCTAAGAGTCGCAATATTCAGCCCTCTCTTGCGATGAGGATTATTACCTACTTCACCAAAGATAAGATCCGACGCAAATGCCACAACACATCTATAAGGGACACGGTTTTATAAACATGGAGTGGTAATGTCATGTTTGGGAGTGAAAATATCCAATCCCAAATTGAATAGATGTAAAGAAATATGGCTGTTAAATTACCGGTGCAAAGCTTGATCATCAGAGAGATTTCCCTTTGCTCTAAACCAGAACCTCAAGCTGCTTCCAGAATAGGGAAAACCCGCGGGCCCAAAACACGCAAATTCATCATGATATTTGATTTTGGGAAAAATTCATGTCATTATTCTCAGAAATTCGAGATTTTTTGCAAATACTCCAGAATAACATAATTACCACCCGCACTTCAGGAAGTTAGATATTTTCGACAATAATACTCTAAGATTGCATATTGACCACACATATGCCTCATAATTCTCTTATGGTATGTTTGAAAACATGGGTTTGGATTTCAAATCCAGATTTGGCTCAAATTTCATGTTTGGGAAACTTAAAATTTTTGAATTTGGATTTGAGTCAAATTTTTCTCATTTATAACAAAGCTTAATTTGAAATTTATGCACCTCCCATTGTCATTTGAAATTCAAGATTTCAAATTTTGGAATTGAAATGCATGAATTGAAATGAAATGCTAGTTGCCAAACACTACCTTAGAGTATTAATGTAAAACACTTGAATTTCTCAAAGCACTAGTAATAATTATCTAACCTTGGAATATGCTTGGAAAATATCAAAATTATGGGAGTTTGGGCATGAGTTTTTCCTTCATTTTATGCCTCAACCAAAACATATTCAATAACCAAAAAACAATGAAGCTGACCTTGGAGGGCTCTTAGTCTGGCTGGTTACATTAGGATCACAAAACCTTATCTCTATTGGCCATGGAACAAATTCCGCGGTAGCTAAAGCGTTCCTATAGGGACTGCAAGAAATTCAATTCTTGGGGAATCAAATCAAGTGAATAGTGAATACAGCAACAAACAAAACCAGTAGAATCTTAAGTAGAGTCTGAGGAGGGTATGCGTATGCAAATTTTCACCATAAATAAAATAGATTATAGTTTTAAATGATTGAATGTATAAAATTTTATTATATCAAAAGATGAACCTAATCTATTAAATTTACATTATAACTAAATATATTTTTTCCATAATTTATGGTCAAAGTTTATAAAATTTGACCAAAGAAGTCAAACAGTAAAGAACTTTATGGGACGAAAAGGAGTCTAAAACAAGGGCTAAAAGAGGTAAGTGCAGCCTATAACCCGGGAAGACGAGGATCAGTGAGCCGCCTTTCACGTATCTCTTCCAATGACAGAAGCTGCAATAACAAATTTTGGATCAAACAAGTTGCATAGAAAATGAAAACTGGATGGAAATATTTCGCGATCACATTGTACCGTTTCTGGATCCGGCACTATAGGCATTAATGCATCCTGGGGGTCAAATCCCTCTTCTTCTTTCTACCAAAATATTTCCACCCGAGATATGAATAATATGTAGCTTATCACTTGCTCTTGAAATTATATTTTTTCACAATAATACACCAAGATTGCATTTTGATCACAAATACCCCAAGTGTGTATTATTGTAAAAATATTGCACTTCTAGAAACATCAGTGATAATTATGCAATCTTGGAATATTTGTGTAAAATCTCAAATTCTTGGTAACATTGACTTAAATTTTCCATAATAATAATTATAATAAATTTATAATGTCAAGCATTGATTCATTACCTGAAATGAAGCAACTAAAGTAAATACAACCTTCTGTTTCTGTATTGCATCTACCCTCCTTGTTGCAAAGCTCTTCCCGTCACGCACACGATGTACTTGATACATTATTGGTACTAGAACAATCAAGAGAAATGATTATTTTAGATAAAAGTACACATTATACGAACTTGAAAATCTAATTTTAATTCTTTTATATTTTTCACACAACATATATGTCTATAGTGTACACAATTATGTAACATTCTTGAAGAATCAATATTTGTGAGCTGAAGCAAACCTCTTTCAAGAGCATAAGAAAGAAATATAAACTAAAATCAATGGAAATGCTATTATAAGAATCTCTAAAAGTGGGTAAGGAGCTTACTATCAACATCCCCACCAAGATGGAAGTGGGCATGAATGCTATGAACAATCTTGAGACAATTGACAGTTTTTGTGGCTGCTGCTAATGCCTGCATATATACTGAATTGCAATCTTTCACTAAAAACTAAAACATTTTAACAAAAATAATATTTGTAAAAAAGTTTTTCCTTCACCTGCCCCACAAATTGGCCTCCAAATACTTTATCAAATTTAGGAGCATCAGGCAACGTAATCCCTTGGAAAATATCCACCTTCAAGAAAACATATGCAAGTTTTAGAAACCAGAACAACAAAAAATGAATCTTGAAAAGGGAAAAGCTTTTGGGATTGCTATAGTCAGCATTGTAAAACAAGTTTGATAATTGTCATCTCTAATAAAAAATGGACAGCAGAAAATAAAGACTTATAAATTTGGTGTATGGAAAACAAAACAAATACTTCCTCTCTCCCTAAAAGAACTTCTTGCTTTCCTTTTTCAGTTTTGTATCATTTGATTCAGGGAAAAAAAAGGAGTGGTTTGCATTACTTCTCTCTTCTATGCATAAACTTCCACCATACAATTTCATTTTTTCTTAAATTCCGTGAAAACGAAAACAAGAGCTTCTTTTAGGGAAGGAGGGAGTATAAGAGAATACGGTTAATCTAAGGGGCAAATACGTACTTTCAATGGTTCCAAATGCAAAATGTGCTCCACTAGGGAGCATTTCTCCACTGCTTTGTCTGCATTCCATATTGATATGGGTTGTAGCAGGTTACAATGTTCATGGCGCAGCATCAAGCAGGTTAGCTACACCATAGAAAAAAAACACAGCAACTTATTACGACTCAGAAACCGCAAATACAGATTTGGATGAGAAAAACGTTACTCCCAGAAAGGTAAGTACTTTAGTGAGAGCGACCACACCGGCATGCTGGCTAGATGATGTGAGGCCTGCAGATGCATCTATAGATGTCATTAAAAATTGAAGGTAAGCAAATAAAAATGCAAGAACAATTAGATGCATCGCACCGTGACCAAAATAATCATACTCCCTCCGTCCTATAATGATCTTCCCGGTTCGCAAAACGAAGAAAAATCCCAAGTTTTTTTAATCTATTTTATTTAAATATTGGTATAGAAATAAAAAATAAAACAAACATATTTAAAAACTACATCAAAAGTTCAACAAAACAAGTGGTGATAAGAATATTTTATTTTATCATATAGGCCATGAAAAAACACAAATAAATATAAATTCCTGTGAAGTTGGAATAGTGCTCTGGGAAGATCATAATAGGACGGAGGGAGTATTTTTTAATTGATATTTTGTAGGGTTGTCTTCCTCGACATGGCCGGAGACTTCAGCCTGCAAAAAGAGAGAGCAGTTTGTGTCCACACACCATTGAAACTTGAAAGTGAATGTCAACATTCACATTAGCTGACTATTATGACCTTCATGATACATCAAAAGTCAAATGAATGTGGATATGAGGTATCTCGATGTTCAATCAAGTTTTGATGTATCACGAAAGTCATAATGGACGATTAAATGTGATCGTAGGGAGTAATCCGGTATGAATGAATAATTACCACACCGTCCCAAATGAAGTGAATTCCATCCCCGGCTTCCCCTTTGCGCAGAACATAATCACCCCTATCTTATATAGATTATACAAAAGAAGATTTAATGGACACATTGAAGATATGCCAAACAAATAAAGATTCTCTAATGTCAACCATTTAAAAAAATGAAAAAATAACAATTAAAAGAAAATCATCTTTGCATAAACAGAAACACATGAGAAAGAAGCAAAATCATCTTAACCATAACTTACTAGTAAAGATTATTCTATCATCCAACCGTAGGCACAAGAATATCATACATCCACTAGGAGTACAACAACAACCCAATAAAATCTTAAAACAGTAGGAATGTGGGGTAAAAAACTTCTTGTAGAGTGCAGAACAATTCCCTTGCTGATCAAAGACATTACTATGATCTGCCAAAGCTCAGAAAGAGGATGTAAATATGAATATGAACCACACAAATATTACACGAATGAGGGGTGATATGAAAATTTAAAAAATTGAGAATCTATGATTCATATTGATGCTAAAAAGTAAATATGAATATGCACCACACAAATGTGACATGATACAAATATAATGGAACATATCCAAAATGGTAAAAACTGAGAAATATACATAGAGGGGAAGTAAAAATTTACCATAATTCTTGACATCAACTAGCTGTGCGATTTTCTGGACAGAATTTCTGTAGCAAAGGTACACAGCTCAAGAATTCCGCTACTGCAAAATCCAGACACCATATTAAAAAAAACAAAACAAAAAACTTTAAGAAAGAATCAATTTTTTAAAACTGGGGGATATATAAAAGTGTAAAATCCACCAGAATGGATTCCCATTTTTCGAGCTTTTCCAGTAATATAAGAAGAAAAAATTACAGTACTAATGAGTAATAAATAAGAATCAATCCAGAATGAGCAATATAAACCCAGAGAGAGTAGTTCTCTTACTGTAAGTCTGGTCTTCTATCTCTTTTTGTGTAGAACATTAGAATCCCAAAGGTCGGATCTTTTTTCCGTTGGCGTGGAATTTCCGCCGTTGACCGGACTTCTTGTCTCCCGACGGATTGATCACTTTTCAGAATTGTGAAAACGATCAAGAAACTGAGGAATTTTTTTTTTTTGAGCTCCTCAGTATCTTTTGGCATGGAATTAGAGACGCCAAACCGAACATTCTGTTTCTAACGTCTTGGAATTAATTTTCTAGAAATAATTTTATTTATTTATTTTTGCCTTTTGTTTTCCCTCGTATTATTTGTTCAATCATAAAATTTCAACGTTTTAAATGCTCAAAAGTAGCTTGAACATGATCTTTAGAGCACCAGCAGCGGCGTGGAGATATATCTGGCGCCCTGCCACCTCAGCCTATTTGGTTATTTGCCTTGCGTGGTGGTAGAGTTTCTCCTCCATTCCCGTGTCATGTGCGAGCCTTCTCTTATTCCTATTTTTCTTTCTTTTTCTTTTTTCATTTTTTGGTAAGAGAGACTTTTTAGATAATTTTTTAAGGTAATACTCCATATAACCTTTTTTTATGATAAAATAAATAACAATAATAATTTCAAATAATCAAAATATTTAAAAAAAGTAAAAAGTGAGAAAATATTATTTTTATTTTATTTGTTTGCATTAAAAAATTAGTTTTTTTAAAAAAAAGTAGAAGTATTTTTATAAAACAAAATAAATTAAATAATTTTGAGTTAATAGAAATATTTTTTATGATAAAATAAACAGGTTAAATAACTTCAAATAACTCAAATATGGGAAAAAATAAAAAAAGAATAATAAAAACGACTTGCCACTGCAGGGCATACCACTCCACTCCCTTGCCACTCGTTGACTGGACTGTTTTTTATTGGTTAAAATGTTTCACGTCAGCGTGTGGCATTCTATTGTTGCCTCACCATTGTTCATGCTCTTAATACATTAAGTGTATTAGGTATCTTAACAAACACTCTACCACCATAAAATTTTAAAATCCCAATTTCCATAAATGTCTCATCCACACGAAGATAAGAGGGAAGACATAAGGGAAATAAGTTTAAAGATCATATATACAGTTTTAGGTTGTCAATCCATTTTAAAGTAGACAGATTTCTAACGCTCTGAAATATATTCTCGAGTTTAATAATGAATTCCAAATGTGAGTTCATGGAAACTGGGGTTCGAGCCTACTAGATATGAGACGGGAACCTTCATAAACAGAATTGATTTGATGATCCACGAAAAGGACTAGGGAAGATGAGCGCGAAGAATATTTAACTAGAGTTCAGTCACAACCCAAATACTCATCAATGAGGTTACCCACAAGATAAACTTTAGAATCGATGTATGTGATGTCAGCACAATAAAAATTGCCACCATATTAAAAAACAACACTATTTGGAAGCTTCCTTTTTAACTTCATCAACGGCATTTCATACAAATCATATTTACCCTTCTCTTCACCGACATTGATGAACATTAGAAACGGCATTTCATACAAATCATACCAATAAGTTAAAGAATACAAAGACTACTATTATTCTCTCTCACAATTTATGCTATTGGCTTGCAATTCACAAGATCAACCTTGAAACATTTTCTCTATCTATTTCTATTAATTTGATAAAATAATAGTCATATCAATTACATAATTAAGAAAACTTTTAGTTTATAAATTTTTAGATTTTTTTTAAATTCTCTACCAATTTTTAAATAAAAATTATTTGAAAATTTTGATACAATCCGGACTTTGTTTTCCATTTGATGAATTAATCTACCACTTTTTTTACCCTAAGCATATACCGGAGTATATGTTATACCAAAACAAGATGCAAATTGTTTCTGAGAATCAATTCATTTCAAGATTCTGCCAAGACAAAAAAAATGTTGAATGGAACAAGACCAAAGACTTCATTGATATGAGTTAGAGTTTTGACTGCCCGATCGGCTTTCGTGTAGGCAGGACGGCTCGCTGCAACGCCTCTTGGGTGAGTGACACCACAAGCTGAAAAATTACCACATTTTGAACAAAATCAATAAATCAATATAGGGCTAATGATAATCAAAATCATCATCATTATCATCACAAGGTTAATCTGGAAAGTCTTGCTGTTTACCGTTCCGTTCCGGTCAAACATTTGCCCAGAAACAAAACCGCGAGCATTATGTGCAGATGGACTCCCAATCTGGACCAAATTTACAAAGCAATTTAGAGAAAGAATGGAAATGTGATTAGCCAATTTACACAAATATTTGCTGTGTTGGGTAAATCTTTGCTTGCTCACCACAAACAGTATCCAGTCGTCAGCCCGAATTGGCCTGTGAAACCACATCCTGAAATAGAGAGCAAGTAAACATGAATCATACTAAAATTTTATTTTTGTTCCAAAAAAAAGTTCCGTTTATAATTTCACTTTTCTTAACAAGCGTGTAATTTTGGGATGAAGGGAGCAATGGGGTCCATGAAATCAAAGCAAGAGACATACGAGTGTAGCTTGAAGACACTTAAGAGTTATCGAGACTAAGAGTCGCAATCTTCAGCCCTGCCTTGCGATGAGGATTATTACTTACAGAAGCAAAGATAAGATCCGACGCATATGCCACAACACATCTATAAGGGATAAATTTTTAGAAATGCGGAGTTGTGGCAGTATCAAAGTTTGGGAATGAAAATATCAATTCCCAAATTAGATTGTTAGATATGTAAGGAAATATTGTTGGTACCGGTGCAAAGCTTGATCATCAGAAAGATTTCCCTTTGCTCTGAACCAGAACCTCAAACTGCTTCCACAATGGGGACAAAATGCACGAGTTCATCATGATATTTCATTTTAGTATACATTCATGTCAATACTATACTTTTACAACAATACTCCAACATTGCATATTGTAACAATATTGAATTTCTGGAAGCAACAGTAATAATTATGTAATCTTGGAATATTCTTGTAAATTATCAAATTTCTAAGAGTATTGGCATGACTTTTTTTTCTTCATTTTATGCCTCAACCAAATACATTCAACTAGAGACAGTGAAGCTGACCTTGGAGGGCTCTTGGTCTGGCTGGTTCCTGTACTAGGATCACAGAACCTTATCTCTATAGGCCATGGAACAAACTCCACAGTAGCTAAAATGTTCCTATAGGTTCTGCAAAATTTTGAATACTTATAAGGAATCAAGTGAATACAACAACAATAGCAACAAACAATCTCACAAAAGTAGGGTCCGGTGGGAGGGTTGGAAGGCAGAGTGTACTAGACAAGGTCATGGGTATGGCCTAAAACCTGGGAAGACGATGATCAGTGAGCCGCCTTTCACGTATCTCTTCCATTGACAGAAGCTGCATTAACAATTTTGAATAAGCAAGTTGCATCAGAATGAAAACTGGATGGAAAGATGTTGTGATTACATTGTACCGTTTCTGGATCCTGCACATTAGGCATTAATGCGTCCTGGTGGTCAAATCCCTCTTCTTTCTGCCAAATTATTTCCACCCACGTTATGAATAATATATATTCCGTAGCTTATAACAAAGCAATGTACTTGACATCACAAATATTACAATTAATAATAATAATGATAATAATGAATTAATGATAATGATAATAATAGGTATCACAAACACTCCAAGATTGAATAAGTATCACCAACGCTCTCAGAAATTCAATATTTTCAGAATAATACTCCAAGATTGCATTTTGATCACAGATTGCATTTTGGAGGATTCATGTAAAGTAATCCTTGGAATATTCATGAAAAATCTCAAATTTATGAGAATATGCACATGAATTTTTCCTAACAGTAATAACACTCTGTAATACTTCGTAATAAACTAATAATGTTAGACATTGAGTGATTACCTGAAATGAAGCAACTAAAGTAAATACAACATTCCCTTTCTGTATTGCATCTACCCTCCTTGTTGAGAAGCTCTTCCCATCACGCACACGATGTACTTCATATATTATTGGAACTAGAAAAACAAAGAGTAATGACACTTTTAAATGCGAGAGGCTTGCAGTAGTGGGTGGGAGAGAGTTGGGATAGATAGACCTAAGAAGAGTTTGGAGGGTGTGATTATATAGGACTTACGTCTTCAAGCTCTTACCAAGGATATGAATTAAAATAATAACAACGAGAGGTCTAGGATTAAAGTAGTTGGGTAGAACTTTGGGCCTTAGTATGTAGTCTTTGCTGGGTTTTTTTACCCTAGTCCGTAACTTGTGCATGTGTGCTCTGAATGTTATTGTTAGTGTCGGTATGTATGATACGTCTCATTGTGCTCATACTTTGATCATGCTACTATTTGTACCCCCTGACCCTACTTTTTGTGGGATTTTACTATGCTTGTTGTTCTATCTTTCGCTCAAGATATAACTGATATATGCTTATCGTGTACACATTCATGTGATTATTCTTGAAAAATAAATATTTGTGTGCTAAAGCACACCTCGCTCAAATGGATGGCATTGAAAGATAAACAAAAATCAATGGAAATGTTACAGAGTATAATAAAAGTCACGAAAGTGAGCAAGGAGCTTACTATCAACATCCCCACCGAGAAGGAAGTGGGCACGAATGCTGTGAACAATCTTGAGACAATTAACAGTTTTTGTGGCTGCTGCTAATGCCTGGACAAAAAGTCAATTGCACATTTTCACTAAATTTTAAAAAATCACAACGAAAAAAATTTATAAAAAGGTTCTCCTTTACCTGCCCCATAAATTGGCCTCCGAATACTTTGCCGAATTTTGGAGCATCAGGCAGCGTAACACATTGGAATATATTCACCTACAAGAAATTGTAGGTAAGTTTAGAAACCAGAACAAAAAAAACAAAACAAAGAACTTCAATTTTTAAATTTTGGTGGGAGTGATAGGGGTAAAAGGTCTGCGTAGATACACCCTCATAGACCCCCCTTTTGTGGGATTTTAATGGGTTTGTTGTTTTTTTTTTGTGGGAGGGAGTTATAGATGTGTGTGCATACATGTTTTTAAATATTTTTGGCAACAATTCTTTAAACAAAAAAATTACCTGTCCGTTCTTGAGAGCCATGATTTTTGTTATAATTGAACCTTGGAAAAGGAGAAGATTTTTGGATTGTTCAAGTCAACATTGTAAAAACAACAACAAGCACAGTAAAGTCCCTCGAAAAGTAGGGTGTGGGAAGTGCGTGTACACAGACCTTACCCCTACTTTCAAAGGGGAGAGGTTGTTTCCATGACACCCCCAGCTTGAAGGGTTTTTTATTGATGTTTTTTTTCTGAAATTGTTCTTTGAAAAGAAAGTTTGATAATTGCCATTTCTAGAAAATAAATGGACAGCACTACAGCAGCAAATAAAGAGACAACTTTGAAGGCATAACGAAAACAAAAGTAAATATAAGAGAACGCGGTTTAATCTCAGGGGCAAACACATACTTCTAACGGTACCAAATGCAATATGTGCTCCACTAGGGGGCATTTGTCCACCGCTTTGTCTGCATTCCATATCGATTTAGGTTGAAGCAGATTACAGTGTTCATGGCGCAGCACCAAGCAGGTTAGCTGCCATTGAAAAAACACAATAACTTTGAAACCACAAAAAACAGAAATGGATGAGATAAATGCTACTCGCAGAAAGGTGAGTACTTTAGTGAGTGCAATTACGCAGCATGCTGAGCTGATGATGCGAGGCCTGCACGTTCATCTATAGACGTCACTTAAAATTAAAGAGGAGCGGATAAAAACGCACAAACAATGAGACGCATCGTACAAACAAGCTTTCAGTTAGCGTTAGTATTTTGAATAAGTTTTTAATAACAAAAAATTAACTTTGGAAACACTGATGCTAAAATACTGTCATTACACAACCATTTTCAAAATGCTAAAGCTAAAAACCGAGGTTGTTCCCAAACAGCCACTCTATAATTCATTCCAAGCTGCAACTTCCCCACGTCGACAATGTGAACATATAATTTGAAATCAAAGAAAAAAAGGGACAGCCACGTTTGCAAACTTATGATGATCGCGTCCACTACTCTCCGCAATTTCCTTCAAACTAGTCCAAGACTTTCGCCTCCTTTTCGTAGTTGTGCCATTGTTACTTTGATCAATAACATCTTTTGCAGTTGTAATAGTATTATTGGTAACAGTAGTAGCATGCCCAGATCCAATGGCCTTCCATAATCCTCCAGATTTCATCCTCCTCCTCTTTCTCTTTGAGTCCAAAAGGCTAATGTCCACTCTCATCGACAATGGAGTCGAAGGATCATCTATTGGTTCAACGGGCGCACCTCGTGCAATCTCGTTATCATTACTATTACTTTGATTGGGAGATGACTTTCTTGCCTCTTCAGGTAGGGGTAAGGTCTCCGTACATCCGCACTCTCCAGACCCCACTTGTGGGACTTTAGTGGGTTGTTGTTGTTGTTTGTTGGCAGTCTTTGATTCAGAGGACTTGTGGGTTAAGGGCTTGTCCTTTCGTGGGCATATCTCTTTCAGGTAGCCTCTTGACGTTCCTGAGATTAGGTTGCGGTGTGAACAAGAGTGACATGTGTAGACCACGTGATTTTGCAGGTTACTTCTGGTTTTTTTGTTCTTGTGGCGGTGGGCCTTTCTGTTGCTCTTCTCGACTCGGATGGTACAATTGTAGCCGGGTTGAAGAACGGATTCGCACCTGTGGAAGAAAAATGATGAATTCTTGACTCTGGTGTAAAACCACCTATTTGCACCTAATAGAATATTCAATGATTCTATCTTCACAAGCAAAAGCGCAAACGAGAAAACACTTACGCGGTCATCCAAGACTTGAACAAGTAAAGTGAAACCACACTTTAGGTTTCAAATAAAAAAAAAGTCTCATCGCACAAGAACGGCCCAAATTATATGCTCCGTAATATAGATTTGAAAGAAAGCACAAACATTTGGAACAAAAGGGAGTAAGCAGAGAAAAACCTTTGACAAGAGACCAAAGAAGGGTCGGGAGCCAAACCCAAGGACTCAGAGTAAGCAGCTAATCGCGTGCCAAAAAAGGTGCTCAATGGGGGTATGGATGCTACGCCGCTGGCCCAAACTGCAAGGTTTTTCATATGATCCACTTTCACCATCAACTTGGGGTTAACATGACTCGGCTTCCTTGCATTCCAATCATGTCGGATCGTGCTTGATCCAAAAGTCACACCACCACTTCCTTCTCTCGAGTTAGGCCCTTTCTTGCCCATATTTTGGGGTGAAACAGTCACGGAACTCGCAGCCTGGATAAAAAAAACCCCACCATTCATACATATTTTCATTCACAAAACGAAAAAAGAATGTAATTATTGTAAACTAAACAATAAATACATTTATATTAAAAAAACACAGACCAACAAGAAAACAAAATATCAGCTAAGCAGGGCAAACAAAAATGTCTTAACAGCATAAAATGACATGGAGTATTAATTTTTTCTTCCACATATACATATCTTACATTCCTAACCATGGAGTCCCGACACTCTATATAAAAATTGTTAAAGTGCATCCCACATCGGAAGTCCAAGAGTAAAATAATCCGGTATATACGCTCTTGAGTTAAACTAACTAATCGATTGGATTCAATCTTTTAATGTGGTTCAGCCCAAGTGTCTTATTACCCAATCCAGCTGTCCATACCCCATCCTAAAATTCTATCATGGTATCAGAGCAGGTTTTGGCCCACCTCGTTTGTCAAGGTGTCCGTCTAGACGTTCATTCCTAGCGGCCCGTTAGTCTTTAGCCCAGTTGTCCGTATGAAGTATGTATCCAACGGCCTGTGGCCCGTTTAACACGATTGTTCGTCTGGAAGTCCATACCCAGCGGCTCGTGGTCATTGGCGCTCAAAAAAATATATTAAGGGAATGGGAGTTCATTTGCAAGTGGTCAACCGGTTAGATTCAAAACGGCCCGGTTGTCCACTTGAGGGGGAGTGTTAAAGTGCATCCCACATCGGAAGTCCAAGAGTAAAATAATCCGGTATATACGCTCTTGAGTTAAACTAACTAATCGATTGGATTCAATCTTTTAATGTGGTTCAGCCCAAGTGTCTTATTACCCAATCCAATTGTTCATACCCCATCCTAAAATTCTATCAAAAATAAATGAAAAAAAATCAACTATTCGAACAAACATTCAAAATATAATTCTCAAACTAAATTTTCAATGTCATAAATTCTACAACAGATTTTTTTTAAAGACATTCTCGGTAATGTTGTTGTAAACAAGCTGAAAATACCCCCTTTAGCAAATGAATTGTATGTTTTTCGGTCACGAATATCGATTAAATCAACCCCTTGACCTAGAAGAATCATCACTGTCCTCAATTAGCCCATCGCAGTGTTTTCAGTGACATAGAATCAATCGATTAGAGGGGAAAATTACCTATGAGTATAGATTAATCGGTTGTTTGCGAGAAGCTTTGGGCGCGGTGGCCGAACGAAGTCTCTGGTGGCGGCAGCAGGCGTGGTGCGGCGGTCGGTCGAATGCCTATAGGCGTTTGTGTACTCGCCCAAAAAACAATTTTTTAATGCATTTTCATGTATTATTTTATTGTAAATTCTATAATTAGTTCTCGGGGTTTTTATTTTAGTTTTATATTATCAACTATTATATTGGTAATGTTTCTTCTATGAATATATATATTTTTCAGAAATAGCTTTTTATTTTGTTATTTTGAAGGTTAAAAATGTACTCCATAATTCACAATGACATACGGAGTATATATCTTTTTTATCATACACAATGCTGATGGGTAATAACCCATGGATACCGCCCGATAGGTCTGACCAACCAGGAGGTACCAAATGTAATGCCACCTGACCTAGTCAACCCGGGCTGTCTGACCGGTCGGGAATGAGTAGATTCAAAGCCAAAGACGTAGCTTCTTCAGCCGAAGACATACAAATAGACCGGTCAGTGAACTCACCGGCTGGATGATGTTAGATGTGCTTGACGTGCTTAGGATTATTATAAATACCCCTAAAAGCCTCATTTGTGAGGCATGCTTTAATTAATCTGTACGGCTTGTGCTTTGTAATAGTCCTATCTTTATCAATAACAAACCGGGTTACAGGTGTTTCCACCTACAGCCCTTCCGATCATTTATACTTAATATTTGCACGGTAATTTACACCATCAAATTAGCGCCGACCGTGGGACCTATTACAAAAAAGCCATGGCAAGCAACCAGGAAACCGTCATATCACAAATCTCTACTCCCGTTGAGAACATTACATCGTTCCCGGGGGGAGTGCCCCACCTACTACAACAATCCCTACCCCCATAATCACCATTCCAACGCCTACCCCGTTAACTTCCCCAATGACCTCTGTTCCGGTGTTTCCTCCGAATTTTCCTGGGCCCATTGACCCGATGTATTTTCAGGCGTTCCAAAATTTCGGACAATTTATGTCTATGTTCCAACAGCCGGGAGGATTTTCTCCTATCATCCCTGGATTATACCCACCGTCATTCCCACAAACTAACATCGTCCGGCCAGTTGTCCCAACAAATCTGGTCGGGGAGATGAACAAGGTTGGTCCATCCCAGTCCAGAAGGAGTCAGTCCTAGAGATCGCACACCCAAGTCACACCAGATGGCGATGTGCGATCAGTCCACAGCAAGGATGAGGACTGGGATGTACCCCAGGCCCAAAAGAAGCTGAAGGGTAAGGTTATCCAGCCTGAAGGATCCAGGAGATCAGCATTCCAGAGGCTGAGACATGACGGCAGGAACCAGAACCGCCCAGCCAAAGAACGACTAGGAGTGGAGACTACCCCGGTGAGTGCCTTTGACAGATTGGGAAGAGGGGCCGGGCGACCTGGTCGGACTAGGCGAACGGAACCACCCCCTCGCAATGAGCCCCAGAACAGCCAGGCGCCCCGGGAGGAGGAAGCAGAAAGCCATCCGAGGCACACGGTCCACACCCACGTTGAACAACCAAGGGACCGTGTGGGCCGGGTGGAGGCGCGTCTAGAGAAACTACAACGGTGGGTAGACCGGGACGAGAAAAAGATCTTGCTGAATGAATCACCATTTACTGACCGGGTGCACGAAACCCCGTTCCCAAAAAGGCAAAGTTGGAGGTTCCAAAATTCATCAGGAAGGAGGACCCGGAGATACACGTCAAAACCCTCCACCAAAGTGGGAGAATGATGGGTCTTTCTGGAGACGAGAAATGTTTACTTTTCTTCCAAACCCTCCGTGGTCGGGCCGCTGAGTGGTTTCACAACCTCCCGGTCGGTGAGATTGACTCTTTTGATGAATTGGCCGAGGTGTTCCAGGAAAAGTTTAAGGAGAACTGTACCAAGAGGAAAAAGTTTACCTACTTGAGTACGGCCGGGCAGAGGGAACACGAAGATCTGACCAATTTCCTTACCCGGTGGAAGGACGAAGTAGACAAGGGGGAAAAGATGGACGACAAGACAGCAATGTCCCTCTTGGTCTCCGGGCTTCGTTCCAGAGAGTTGTACAAAGAATCTTTCTGGAGACCTCCCCAGTCTTACCAAGAGGCCTACAACACGGCCTGGGATTACGCCGACGCTGAAGCACATGTTTCCTCCAAAAGGGAAGCCGAACAAGGCCACTCCAAGGGAAGGATTTCCTTGAAAAAGGAAATCGAATTGCCCGGCAGGGTAAAAGCAGAAGTCCTGGGGGAGAAGCCGGCCAAGGTGGAGAAGAAGCCAGCCGGGGAGAAGTAGTGGACCGAGAAGTATTGCTCCTTCCACAAAACCGACTCCTATAACACTGCTGAGTGCAATAGTGTTAAGGGGTGATAAAGCAAATGATTGAGGCCGGGGAGCTTGATCCAGAGTATCTAGCTCAGGAGAAACAAAAGAAAAACCAATGGGTCCGGCCTGAAGGACAACCGGTCGAGCAGAACAAGAAGAAGAAAGCAGCCGGTAAGGAGCATTTGCAAGTCATCTATGGTGGACCGGAAGGGGGAGATTCTTCTTCCCAAAGAAAGAAGTGGGGACAGGAACTCTACGTTGGCACAGTTGCCTCAGGTCCCCGGCCAAAGCAGACCAGACGGGATCCGATCACTTTAACGGATCGAGATCTTCCCGCCACCAGGGAAGATCACAATGACCCCCTGGTCATAACCATGAATATGGGTGGAGTCGATGTCTCCCAAGTACTTGTTGACACAGGCAGTAGTGTCAATGTTTTGTACTTGGAGGCCTTTGAGAAACTCAAGCTGTGTCTAACGCGGCTTGAGCCCTTAAAGACTCCCCTGTCCGGGTTCACTGGGGATTCTGTTGAAGCTGAGGGCTCAATCCTCTTAACTTGCGAGTTGGGCACGGGAGATAAGGTCATCCAAAAGCATATGAGGTTCGTAGCGGTGAACATCAAATGTGTTCACAATTCCATCTTGGGCCGGCCTGGAATAAACAAGGTTCGAGGAATCATCTCCATGGCTCACCTCTGCATGAAGTTCTATACGCCGGGCGGTATAGGACAAGTCAGAGGGGATCAGAAGAAGGCCTGGTCTTGTTACCTTGAGGCCGTAAAGAAAATGACAAATGCGTTCGAAAGGGTTACCCTGGTGTCCCAGGAAGAAGACCGGTCAAAGTTGGAGCCGGGTGATGAAATTGAGCAGATCGTTCTCCGGGAAGCATTCCCTGAGAGAATGGTGAGAATCGGTCGGCCAGGATCTACCCGGAGGACTTCGAGAGGAAATCATCTCGGTCCTTCGGGAGTACGCTGACATATTCGCTTGGAGCGTGGCGGATATGCCGGGCATCGACCGTTCCGTTATCTGTCACCGGTTGGCAGTAATAGAAGGTAGCCGGCTGGTGAAACAAAATAAGAGACACTTAGTAAATGTCCGAAGGGAGTTTGTTAAGAAAGAAGTGAGGGATCTGCTGTCAGTCCGGCACATCAGAGAAGTCCAGTACCCAGCTTGGTTGGCGAACGTCGTCCTAGCACCTAAGGGCGACACTTGGCGTATGTGCGTAGACTACACAAATCTCAACAAGGCCTGCCCCATGGATTCGTATCCGCTGCCCAGTCCCGACCAGATGGTTGACGAGACGGCCGGATGTGAATTGCTCAGCTTCATGGACGCTTTCAAAGGTTACCATCAAATCTTCATGGCGAAGGAGGATGAGGAAAAAACATCCTTCTTAACTCCCGAAGGCACGTATTGCTACCGGGTGATGGCCTTTGGACTGAAGAACTCGGGTGCCACTTATCAACGGATGGTGAACCAGCTTTTCAAGCCACTCCTCGGTAAGTCCACGGAAGCCTACGTGGATGACATGCTGATCAAGAGCCCAAGAGCAATGAACCACCCGGCTGATATGAGGCTATGTTTTGAGATCATGGAAAAATATAACATGCGCCTCAACCCCAAGAAATGCGTCTTTGCTGTAAAGACCGGCATGTTCTTGGGGTTTATGGTCACAAAGCGGGGTATTGAGCCTAACCCGGAGAAAATAAAGGAAATAACCGAGATGAGGTCGCCCGGTTCCCTGAAGGACATGCAGCGACTAACCGGGTGGCTGGAAGCTTTGAGCCGTTTCCTTTCCCGATCGGCTGAAAGAGCCCTGCCTTTCTTCAAGGTCTTAAAGAAGGCAACACATTCGAATGGGATCGGGAGTGTGAAGAAGCTATCCAGCAGCTGAAGGAGTACTTAGTTTCTGATATTGTTTTGTCTAAACCCAAGTCGGGTGAAACTTTGTACTTGTATATGCGCGTATCCCAAAATGCTGTAAGCTCTGTATTGATTAGAAATGAAGACGGCCAGAGGCCTATTTACTATGTGAGCAAAGCACTTAATGGGGTAGAAAGCCGGTACACTGCCATTGAAAAAACCGCATATGCACTTTTTATAACGGCCAAAAAAATGACCGCATAGTTCCAAGCTCATGCTGTAGAAGTATTGACTGATCAGCCACTTGGACCGGTCCTCCGAAATTCAACCTCTTCAGGACGAATGATCAAGTGGGCAATGATGCTCACTCAGTTCAAGATCGAGTATAAACCTAGGACCGCAATCAAGGGCCAAGCACTGGCTGACTTCCTGGTGGAACTTACCGGTCTGGAGCCTGAAGCCGGACCTTCCCATACGGTCGAACCGTGGTGGGATATGGCCGTTGATGGGGCATCTGGACCGAAGGGATGCGGAGCCGGCATAGTCTTTACTACTACAGAAGGGTTCAAAATCTACCATGCCTTGGTTTTTAACTTTAAACTCACCAACAACGAAGTAGAGTACGAGGCATTAGCCAGAGGACTCAGATTAGCCCGGGCGCTCGGGATCAAGAGAATGAAGATCCGTTCCGATTCAAGCCTGGTCGTTGGGCAGGTTAATGGTGAGATGGAAGTCAATAAAGAACGTTTGGCTCGGTACAGTGACCTGGTCCGAGCTCTTTTGAGGGAATTGAAAGAGTTTCATCTGACCAGGATACCCCGGTCGGAAAACACTGATGCTGATATGCTTTCCAAGTTGATGCAAGTTTGCCCGGAGCATGTATCAAAGTTGGCCAAAATTGAAATATTGGACCAACCTAGCGCCGACGGGTTGGAGGTTGCGGCCGTCCAGCAAGGTTAGAGCTCAGCCACCGGGGTGATCGAGGTGGATGATGACTGGAGATACGATCTCATGGAATACTTGATGACTGGACAGAAACCAGACAACAAAGAACGGGCAAGGAAGGTGGTCTTACGGGCTCCCCGGTTTCAGGTACAGGACGGTCATTTATACAAACGTGCTATTGGAGGACCTCTGATGCGTTGTCTTACCAACCTGGAGGATGAATGGGTGATAGCCGAGGTAAATGAGGGAGTTTGCGCTGCCCATCAGATGTCCCGCACATTGGCCCAAAGAATAATTCTGCTCGGCTACTATTGGCCGACCATCGTCGGGGATTGTGAACGGTATGTGCAAAAATGTAGGACATGCCAAGTCTTTTACAAACATCCCGGCAGACCAGCTACATATTACCAACCAACCTCTAATGTCATACCCTTTGCCCGGTTTGGGATTGACATTATTGGGGCATTCCCAGTTGCGTAAGGCGGGAAGAAGTTCGTGATGGTCGCCATAAATTACTTCACAAAGTGGATTGATGCTGAGGCGATGGCTACCATAACCGTACGGCAGTGTGAAAAATTCGTATGGAAGAACATTGTTACCTGGTTTGGAGCCCCAAAGATGATTGTCACTGATAACGGCCCACAGTTTCACAACCCCCGGTTCACGGTGTTCTTGGCCAGCTTTGGAATCAAGCATAACAAGGCGTCAGTAGCGTATCCACAAGGAAATGGCCAAGTTGAAAATGCTAACCGGACGATAGTGGACGGGCTGAAGAAGAGGCTGGGAGAAGAAGGGCGCAAATGGTTGGAAGCATTACCTCACACAGTTTGGGCGCACAGTGTGACATCAAGAAGAGCAACCGGGGAGACCCCTTTTGTGCTCACTTATGGATGTGAAGCCCGGTTGCCCATCGAGGCGGAATTTCCAATGTTTAGAGAAATCGTGTATCAGCCCGGACAAAACGAGGCCAACCACTTGGTTGAATTAAATCTGGTGGAGGAGCAGAGAACGATGGCAGCGGTCAGAATGGCCGGTTATCAGCAATCAGTAAAAAGATATCATGACAACCGGGTGGGTCCACGTTATTTCCAGGTGCATGATGAAGTCTTACGCAGAAGGGATGCCAGTAAGCCTAATGAGAGAGGCAAACTGGTGCGCAATTGGGAAGGACCCTATCGCATAAGGGCGATCATCAGACCGGGCACTTATCAGCTGGAAACTATGGAAGGTGGACGAGTCGACCAGCATTGGAACTCACACCACTTGTGTAAATTTTTTAGATAAAGTGTAATGAGTTCCCGGTCATGAATAAAACTTTGTTCTTTTCAAAAAGATTGTTCTTAACACCAACTGGTAATTGGTCACTTACCAATGTGACCGGCTTGATGTTCAATCGAATTGAACATCTCAAAAAAAGAGACCGGTCGAACCGATCAAACTCTTCATCCATACTGACGCGGAATTCAAATGACATAACTAGAGCGAGAGCACCCCGGTCTGGTTGGGTCAAATGATTGATGAAAAATGCAAGGCTTATCTTTCAACAAGGGCGATAAGCCAATGTGAAAGACAAGCCAGCTTTGCTTGCACCCGGGCAGAAGACCATCCTTTCGAAAAGGATAAGTCAAACTGCCATCGCGGGTCTACAAACCGATTGAGAAGAGATTGGTCGGATTCAATCTCTCCCCGGTCACCCAGTCAGTCTTTCGAAAGGACTTGGGTAAAACTTTGAATTAGATCGGGTAATTACAGCCGGGCTGTAACTAAGTAATCTACCCAGTTGAAAATTTAAAGTTGAATTAAATTAGTTGACTACAGCCGGGCTGTAGCTAAATGATCTACCCGGTTAGAAAATTACAGTTATTTTAAAGGCAAATCAGGATAAAGTATTCAAGCACTCAGCACATAATATGAAAATAAAAACTTTACTGATATATCAAAAGTGTTTTACAAAAGTGCCCGGATGCTGATCATTACATGACTGAAATAAAAAAAAAGGAAGAAAAAAGAGAGAAAAAAAGGAAGGCTGGAGCTCAGATGCCTTCGAAAGGCGCGACCGGCGCTTCGTCATGCAGCTCAGGCAGTGAGAAGGCCTTGGGCTCGAAACCTTGGATCTGCCGTTGGAGAATGCCATAGAGTGTCCGGCGTTCGTCATATTGGCCACTTTCGAACCCAAATGTCCTGATCTCATCGATGACCTTGGCTGACACCTCGTGCTTGTATTGGCCTTGAAAGAAGCGGATGGCTGACACCCGTTCAGCGCGCTCTTTTTCCAGCTCATCCCCAAGCGGGGCAATCTCTTCGAGGGAACCGAGCGACTTCTTCTTGCAGCCCGGCCGTCTCCGCTTCAAGCCTCTGGATCTTCTCCTGGGCTTGTTCATCGGCCTCCTTCGCGGCCTTAAGCAGCCCTTCATGTTTGGCGTAGAGCTTGCGGTAGGCCGCGCAATGCTCCAACAGCTTCTCCTCCGCCTTCTCAGCCTTCAGATGGGCGGTCTGAGCATCCTTTCGGCAGGCCACCATCATGCCCTCTAGTCGGGCCTTCTCCTCCTCTTTTGATTTCACCATCCGGGTGAAATACTCCTGCCCAATCTAGCCGACCTGCTTCAAAGAGATGAAAGTTTTATCAGAGAAACAAACTTGAGATATAATGTATAGAGAGAAGGTTGGAGGGTTACCTCTTGCAGATCAGACTAGAAGGCTTGGAGGAGTTCTTCATCCGACTGGACCATCAGGGCAAATGGCCAGGGCTCGCCGCGTACTTTTCCGGTGTTGGAGGACTGGGCCGGCTGGTCCACAACCTCAGTCTTCCGCCTCTTCCTTTGAAGAGCCTCCTCAGCCGCCTCCTCCTCGTCGCGGCCCCCTTCAGCTTGTTGGCCGCTCTCCATCAGCAGGTTCTCAAACTCCATGGTCTCTACATTGATGTAGAGTTCCCCGGAGTGAATTGGTTGGCTGGTGCCTTGATGGGATTGGGCCGGTTGCTCGTCGAGGGAGAACGGATGGCCGGAGGGGTGGTTGAGGGGCTGGGCAGTCAGAGGCTCCTCGATGATTTGGGGGGTGGCGAATTTTGAGCTGAACTTCACCACTGAAACAAAGAAGATAGAGACCGGTTAGAAAAACAGAGTTACAAAGTAAAAATGTAAAAGAGAGTTGAGAAGGGCAGTAGGGTTGGACCTTTCTCCTTCTTCCCCGGGTGTGAGGAACTGGCGGCGGTAGAGACCGAGGCTTTAGGCCCTTTCACCCGGCGGATGGGGATGGCATTGGGGATCGCCTCGGCCAGAACGATTTCTAGCTCGGGATCAGTTTCCCGAACGGGGTAGACCCCCCATTTCCCAACGTTGTAAGGGCCGCGGGTGGAGGTGTCCCCAGCCCAGAGAGTGGTCTCCCAAGCGGTCAGGTCATCGGTTTCCCGAGGTTTGACCTGGCGTTTCATTCTCTTCCCCCAGGCATTTTGGGCGAAGGGGAAAGCAGCCGGGGGGAATTTTATAGAAACATATTTGTCCTTCCACTTCTTGTTGGAAGGAGGAAGGCCAGAAAGAAATGTACGGCCTTGATGGGATGACAAAACCACGAATCCAAGGGTTTCCTTGGATCCAGGCTGGACATCGAACATGTGATAGAATAGACAAAGGGAGAGAGGAATATGGAGAAAGCGGTAAACATTGATGAAACTACTCAACATACGGTGACCATTAGGGGCCAACTGCCTGGGCATGATCCCGTACGTTTCAAAGAAAAAGACTTTGAAAGGGTGAATAGAGAATTCACCCAAGTCCTTGATAGAATGGTAATGGATACCAATCGTCGTACCGGCGTGAAGAGAAATAATATTCTTCCACGTTGCCCGGTAGGCCAATTGGTACCCATCCGGCATCAGGTTGCGCAGCTCATCGACTTGAGCATTCTGCATGTGCGACAGTTGCTCTTGAAGCAACTGGTCGTCGAGCTGAATGAAGCCCTCATCCCTAGGCAGGGCAACCGAGACCACTTGTGCCGCAGAAGAAGAAGGGGCACAAGTGGGGGCATCAACCGACTGCTTCTGTGGAGAAGTAGCCGGCCGCTCAGAAGATGATGAAGAAGAAGAGGAACCGGAGGTCTGAGACTGGGCACCAGAACCATAGGAGTGGACAGAGAGGTTCTGGCTATCCTCACGATCAGACATGGCTCGAAGAAATGAGGGAGGAAAAAGAAGCTTACTTGGAACTAGAAGACTCGGAGGACTCGAGAAATAGTTGAAGCAACCGGTTAGATTTTTAGTTGGTGATTTGCAAGTGAGAAGATTCAATGGGAACCTCGCTTTATATAGGGGAGGTGCCGCCCAGCCGAACGAATAGCAAAGCGACACTTGGCAGCTAGAACGATTCGTAATCATAACTTCTCGGGGAGACGAAACGGCGCAACAAATCGGCAGCGCCGTACCGGATTTTAATGAAGATTCTCCCGCCTCTGGTGCCCGGGTTTTCAAAAATTCAAAATTCAAATATATTTGTTTTGGAGCTGGTTTGCAGAGGGCATTTTCCCGCCAAAAATTGCATGGGTGGTTTGAATTTGAATAGATGCACGCATATGCTTCCCGCCCCTGATGGTTCCCATAGGACCGGGAATCGGAGGACTCCTTGATGGGTAATAACCCATGGATACCGCCCGGTAGGTCTGACCAACCGGGAGGTACCAAATGTAATGCCACCTGACCTAGTCAACCCGGGCTGTCTGACCGGTCGGGAATGAGTAGATTCGAAGCCAAAGACGTAGCTTCTTTAGCCGAAGACATACAAATAGACCGGTCAGTGAACTGACCGGCTGGATGATGTTAGATGTGCTTGACGTGCTTAGGATTATTATAAATACCCCTAAAAGCCTCATTTGTGAGGCATGCTTTAATTAATCTATAGGGCTTGTGCTGTGTAATAGTCCTATCTTTATCAATAACAAACTGGGTTACATGTTTTTCCACCTACAACCCTTCCGATCATTTATACTTTATATTTGCACGGTAATTTACACCATCAAATGCAAGAGGTTGTTCCTAATGCATTGTTTGTGAATCTAAGTCGCTTTATACTAAATCATAGTCTACAGATGTAGTTTTTTGTTGGAAACTTGGAATCCTTATCCCGTCCATAGTCATTATTGTTGTGTTGCCCGTCTAATGGACATCGGAATACGTCACTGAACTTATGGTTGATATTAAATTATATTTTGAGCCTTCAAAATAGTCAAATTAACACCAACACTACAGTTAGTCAAAAACCTATTCATGGAAATATACATATAAAAGAAGAATCACGAGTGTAATATTTGATAATAGAACACTAAATATGAAAACCTCTCTTATAAAGTACTCCGTACCAAGTATATAATTTGCTCTTTTTTTTACAACAGAGTAAAAATTAACATCACTTAAGAGAATACTGAAAATTAATTGATGATTTTTGAATATTGGTGTGCAATTTTTCTAATAGAGATTAAATTTTGCATGTTAAAAATTTAATTATTACGGACTATTAAATTGGATGAAATTTTACGTTTCAAAAAGTGTTATTTGCACATTTTTCGAATGGTCTGTTAATATAGTAAACACGCAATTTTAAAAGTTGACAATTTAAAATATTTAAAAACTCGATAGAAAAATTTACATAATTAAATAATCTTCGAATTTTCTTCGACAAATTCTCGTAATGGCAATTATTTCAATACAATTTATTTGCACACTAAACATACAATATAATTTAGAACGAAGGAGTATATAACTGTGATAGGGGCGAGAGCAGGGAGGGAGTAAAATCATATTCCCTTGATTGAAGAAAATATTGCCACCAATATTACTAAACAGAAGAAAATAGAATCAAATTTTTGTTGAGAACACCAGAAAAATGAGATAACGAACACAAGAAGAATATATGAGAGAAAAATTATATTTCCACTATTTCAGGACAATATACAAAAAATGCTCCCCTGTTTACAAGACTAAATTTCAGACACTCATAAACAGATCTTTCCACATCCTATGCCCGGATGTATTTTTCCGAGTAACTAAAACCAGTTACTCCCTACACTCACTCACACTCACTAAGACTCCTTGATTTTTCCGATGGTATTCTTGTGTAAAATTCCTCCCATTTTCTCTCTCTACCTTGGTGGTGTGTAAAACCCACACACCCACATACCACTCATACTTCATGGCTTTATAATACCCAAATGAGTCATGCCAACACTAAGAGCCAAAAAAGGATGACACATCCTTTGATTTCAACCAAAAGCAAAGAAGGTCACACACATACATCCATATCCTCCACCTTTTTCCTTTCCTCTTGCTTTATTTTTTCTTTTTCTTATTTTTCTTTCTTATTGATTATTTAATCAAATATCCCAAAGAGTGCATTCTATAATTGTCCAGAACGATATATTTGTGAGCAGTGCATTAAATGCGGAATTCATGGGGGTAATTTAAGAACCTTCTGTTAATATGAAATATGTTTGGCCGTGCATTCTTTATCCTTGAAATTTATTGTTTATCTAAATTTCTCAATAAAGTTAGCACTTTCCATCTTAGAAATACAATGAATATCAATTCTTTGATTAAATCTGATCCGCATGCTTCATTAGATCTATGTTTCTTACTTATTCTTATTTCTTTCACCAAGGTCCATTCTCAAAGGAACCAACCCATACACACACACACACATTATTGATAAAAGAATAATCGACTTTCATAGATTGAATATGGAGAATACACATGTATATAAATAGGAGGTAGATTCCTAACCTAATTAGGAATCATAATGGTAGCTACCTAAATTACAATATTTCCATAAACAATATTTATACTAATTATGAATGTCTAACATCCCCTCTCAAGCTGAACTCCGTGTAACGAGTGGAAGCTTGGATACAAGACTCTGGAACCGTGGTGAAGGTAGGGCTTTTGTCAACAGGTCAGCTAATTGATCCTCAGAAAAAACATGAGATACACCCATGGTACCAGCAATGACTTGTTCTCGAACGAAGTGACAATCAGTCCCTACATGTTTCATACGTTTGTGAAAAACAGGATTCTTGGTGAGACATATTGTTGACTGATTATCACAAAGAAGATGAGGCGGAGGAGTGGAAACACGGAGATCGGCCAAAATGTAGGTTAACCACATAACCTCAGATGCTGCAGTAGACAATGCTCGATATTCTGCCTCAGTAGAGGACTTAGACACACGAGTCTGTTTCTCTGTACTCCAGGAAACTAAGTTTGGTCCCAGATAGACTAAATATCCTGTAATAGAGCGCCCATCAGTCATATCATTTGCCCAGTCTGAATCTAAGTAAGCACGCAGCTGAAGATCACCAGGCTGAAAGACAAGACTACGATCAAGAGTTCCTTTGACAAAACGTAGAATCCGCTTCAAACTCAGAAAATCATTTTCTGTGGGAGCATGCATCCTCTGACATACATAATTAACCGCAAATTGGATATCAGGACGAGTAGTGGTGAGATACTAGAGAGCACCAACAAGACTGCGAAACAAAGTGGGATCATCAAAGAGCCGTTCACCCCCATCTGCAACTATCGGCCGAACAGGTAACGGCGTCGGCGAAGGGTGGCAGTCCTCCGTTCCAGCTCAGTGAAGTAGCTCGGTAGTATATTTGCGTTGGGAGAGGACGAGAGATGACCCTGTGCGACAAACCTCTAGCCCAAGAAAATAATCCGGCGGGCCAAGATGCTTTGTCTGAAATTCCTTGCACATGCTGTCAATAAAACGCTGAACCAAAGTGGCCGAACTCCCTATGACAATAATATCATCTACATAGACAAGTAAGATAAGAGTACCAGTAGGGTTGTGCATAATAAACAGGCTCGTATCATGAACATTTTTCCGAAAACCATAGGCAAAGAGGAAGACCGAGAGTCGTAGATACCAAGCCCGTGGTGCCTGTTTGGGTCCATATAAGGACTTTGTCAATTTACAAACATGTCCAGGAAGGTGCTGGTCAACATAACCCGGTGGTTGAACCATATAAAGATCTTCATCAACCTCACCATGTAAAAAGGCATTAGAAACATCTAGTTGTTGAAGAGGCCACCCATAAGACAGTGCAAGGGTAAAAACAAGATGAATCGTCTGTTGTTTGACAACCGGACTAAAGGTGTTGGAGTAATCCAGACCATACTCCTGAGTGTAACCCTTGGCTACCAAACGTGCCTTATAGTGCGAGACCGACCCATCAGTGTTGCGCTTAATCTTGTATACCCACTTGCACCCGATCGGAGATCGAGCCTTAGGTCTGGGAACAAGAACCCATGTGTTCTGTTTAAGCAAAGCTGCATATTCTTCATCCATAGCATGACACCAATACTCATTCTAGGAAGCCTCTCTATAAGTTACAGGCTCAGTGACAGGAGGAATAGAGGGAGAAGGGGTAAGGGCGTAAAGTTTTGGTTTAAAGATGCCACGTTTAGCCCATGTGATCATGGGGTGGGTTGGTTGAGGGAGGGGGATGTTGGTTGGAGGAGTGCTGGTGCTGGACGAAAGAGTAGGGACGGGGCTGGTGGTGGTAGAAGGGATAGGGACGGGGCTAGGACTGGTTATGGGCGACGTTGGGGTGGAGCTAACGGTATGGTCAGAAGGGTGTGTGGCTGTAGGAAGTGTAGTGGTAGACGTAGGAGGGGTTACGGTGGATGTGGGGGCCGAAGGTGTGTATGGTTGAGCGGGGAAGCCGGGTGGGACCAGCGGGTTGGGTTGTGGGTGAGGGGAAGAGGCCATGTGAGGCGGTCTAGACACCAAGGGTTCGGGGAAGATGGGAAGGACACCAAAGTAGGAAGATGTAGGGGATGGTGGAGAAGAGTCCTTATATGGGAAAACTGACTCATGGAACTGAACATGACGCTAAATGTAGACACGATTTGTCGAGGGGTCATAGCATCTGTAACCTTTGGACAATGGCTCATAACCTAAAAAGACACAGCGCTTGGAACGAGGTTGTAGCTTGTGATCCGCCTCGTGACGAAGATGAGGGTACACAAGACAACCGAAGACGCGGAGATGAGAGTATTCAGGTGGGACGTGATATAAAACTTCAAACGGAGATTTGTATTTGAGAGATCGCTTAGGCATACAATTGATAAGATAATTTTCTGAAGCCAAAGCTTCAACCCAGAATGTGGCACGGAGAGAGGAAGTGTAGAGAAGGGTAAGAAGTGTTTCAATGAGATGTCTATGTTTACGCTCAGCTACTCCATTTTGTTCAGGTGTATAGGGGCAGGTTTTATGATGAAGAACCCCCAATTGTTATACAAAATGCCCAAAGTTATTATTAACATATTCATGACCATTAT